TAAAAATTTCAATGAAGACAACTTTAATAATCTCATTGGGAATCGTCTCTTCATAGCCTTTATGACTCAAGTGATTAAGTATGTAAGGGTTTAAAATCTGATGCCCTAAAGTCATCTGATTTGGGAGTTATCGACCTAAAACTCGCTACAGGGATCATATAGAAAACTTAAGAGAAGGACGTCTGTACAAGGGGTGATAAAAAAAAAAAAAAAAAAGAAATAATGCCTCACTTAAGCCCTGAACACTCATTTTAGAGGATTTGACATTTTGACAAGAGGTTAGTAACTTGGTTAATTCTTAGAGGTTGAAGCAGTCAAAAGTAAGGAGAATCCTCATTTGTTGACATGTGAAACTGCAGTTAGTAAAATTTAACCAAACTTGAGCGGTGTAAGAGATTATTATTCAAGATTAACCTTAGATTACACCATGGGAAAGAGAAAAGAAAATAAGTTTGGAAGTGTGTGAATTCCACAGCATGCGGAATTGGATCAATTTATTTTTGTACAACGTTGCACTTTTCTCTACACACACACACCCGTTGTACATTGAATATATAAGAATTTTAGTTTGTACATTATAACTTTGAAGTAATTCATAGAGTCGATGTTATGGGTTCAATCCTGAGTTATAAAGGCAATATATCTAACGAAATTTATTTTAAATAATTTTTTATGTTTTAGTGTGTTTTGTGAATGTTAATGATTTATTTGATTTGACTTTTATTTGAGGACAAACAATTGTTCAAGTTTGGGGGTGTTTGATAACTGTATTTTATACACTTATTTCATTCATTAAACTAGAGTAATTTTTGTTATTTAGGATGAATTGATGCTTAACTTCATACATATTTCGTTTGTTAGGTGTAACTCGAGGCAAAACAATGAAATTGGACAGAAGAGCGGGAAATTTGTTAACTTGGTCCTAATCAAAAGTTTGGGGACTAAATCGCAAAGTATCAAAATTTGATTCGGACATGATGTTAATGATTGAAGAAGATCGAGAGACAATAAAATGGTATTAGAAGATGAATGATCGAGAAGTTGTCAAATATGGACCAAAAGGAACGAAGAATGAAGTATAGGGACCAAAGTGCAACATATGGAAAAATTTCATAACGGCGCGCGCACGCAATGGGTTGAATTTCATAAGTAGAATGTAGAATCAATAGACGGCGCACACGCAAGGAAATATACAGCGCGAGCGTGGGCATTTTTCGGAAAAAAAAATCGGACATATTCTTTTTTTGACACAAACTCTTATGAAAATAAAATCTATAATACTACTTAACCTAGAAGGACGAAGAGAACGACGCTTTTTCTTCTAGAGGGGAAAAAGAGGATTGTTAGGAGAAAATCTCAAAAGGCAAAGATCAACAAAAGCAATTGCAAGAAAATTGACGACGATTGGGGGAAAATCCACGCAACAAAACTAGTTTTTCTTATTTCCTACTTCTTCTCCATGTTCTTTGTTGTATATTTCATCATGTCAATCAATTCTATTATGAACTAGACTTTAATCCTAGGGATTTGATGTAGCCTACTTAGACATGTTTTAATTCCTATATAATTATTTCAATTAATCTTTCCGATTATTTATTTATGTTGTTCTTGCGCAATGCTTTTAATTAACTAGCCACTAATTGATTGATTTGATGCTTTATATTTTGACACTCAAGAGAGGTAAATTTAGACGTAATCTAAGAATAACATAACCTAGATTTCGTAGATTTTGAGAGAAAGTGCGAATCTTTGAGGCTAATTCCACTTAAAGAACTAGGTGCTTTGATAATTTCTATATGTTAGTTCGGAATAGAGATATTGGAATTAAAATATAGAAATAGATTCTATTTGGTGCTCGAGAGAGGGAAATGGAATCAATTTAGTGTTCTTGCCTATAAATTTTGGAAAGATTGATAGAAATAATTATAACGATTGAAAAATATTGTCGATAGTACGGTGAAATCACTCCCCAGGCATTCATAATTTGATAAGAAACTTTACAAATTGCTCTTGTTAACTTTGCATCGTTCATCCCATTCATTTTAATTTAACAATAAAATATCGTTTCAAAAATTGATTGTCTAAATAAAGTGAAAGTTAAAATAATTATAGTACTCGATAGGATTCAAATATCAATCCATGTGATTCGACACTCTTATTCTAATATTATATTATAAAACCTGACACCGTACACTTGCGATATAAAATCACGTTGCACGAATCGCGTGGCATTTAACATGGTATAAAGGCAATTCAATTTATCTAAAATTCAAATGAACAATTGAATATTGCAATTAGTATTTTCAAACAAGTCACTGTCTTGATTGAGCATGTTAAGCGTAAATTTTCCCATTATAGCACATTAGTACTAAAGTTAAGTAAAAGACTTTGGATTTTAGTTTATTCACTGCATATTTATTAAAAAGTTGTCCACAGGCTAAGTATTTGATGAGAAAAAAAAAATGGAAAAACTCTATCCAGTATCCACACATGGGGCGGTGGCTATTAAAAATATAATTTATATGATTAGTGTGATGTTTATACCAATAAATAAATAACTCTCTTCTTTAATCACATTTAATATTTAGATGATCTGAGAGATTGTTTTTAGATTTACATGCAATTGTACATGGTTAAGCAACAATTTTATTGGACAACAAAATATGTGGAATTGGCTCTTTCTTGGGTACTGAAAACTACAACTACTTGAAAAAGTAAAAAGCTTCGAGAAAAAGATTAAAACTTGTCACCTAAAAGCCAAAAAGTAAAGCAACTTCAAGATAAAATCAAAATCTTTATATAACCCAAATAAGCTCTTTATTAGTTGCTCTCTCTCTTGTTTGTGTCTGCAGGTATGTGCAGTGGTACCGGGAAAAGGAGACGATGGAGCACAGATATTGAAGTCAATTTGTACTCAATTGATCCAAGGTCTCCATATGTTTAGTCTTTACCAGCCAATAAAAGCTACTTCTAGCTTTGGCCTGTGGTTTCAAATCTTAAATTGTGGATTTTGTAATCCTCATTTACAGATGCCATTTGTGTGACATCTATGTCATGATTTCTGAGTATGACATTTCTATGAACCCTAACCAAAGATGTTGAGAATCCAGAAAATAATTTTGAGAATACATATCTTGCATGCTTTATTCTCTTTACATCTCTCTTTGGAACCTGCTTAATTTGACTATCATAGCATGATAGGGAATGAGGAAGACGCCGCTATGGTGGACCTCATGACAAAACCATTTGATTTTAATCAGTTTTTTATCTGAACCAAACATGGGCTTAAGCATATCTAGTTGCTAATGCATGCATCATGGCTGAGTTCTACTTATTTGAATTTTATGGCTTCTAATAAGAGACGGTCAGCTTTACGTTGATGGCCAGAGATGAGCTTATGCGAAAAAGGTGCGAGCCATTTTGTTTGACAAATTATTTTTTCTTATTTTAAAGTTCAAACAAGCAAAATGTTTAACCATTATTAAAACTTAAAAATGAAATAAGTCCAACAAAAATTCAACCTACCCAGTCCATGATGAAGCATTATTGGATTAAGGTATTTATAATTTTGAAATTATGTTTTTGTTAAAAAATTGGCTTTCTTATAAATTTTCAAAGTTTGCGTTATTTATATATTTATCTACTTAAAACAATTATTATGCCTTAACTTGTAAGATTTAAAGCTTGACCTTCATGCCTTGTGTATTTAGAACTTTGACCATACCATATGGGTCAAGACAAGCAACATTATAAATTAATGGTTCCTACATACTCGAAATGACAAATGTCCAAATCCTAAAAAGTAGGAATTACAAACCTTTCGAATTTCATAAAAGTGGCGCTTTCACGTTCCTCTCCCCACCCCAAAAATTTGAGCCCCATTTTTATTGTGAAAAATGAGTTGTGTAATAGTGATTTTTGGAGAATGTTATATTAAAAATAACGAAAATTTTATGAGTTACGTGTAAAATTATTTTATTGGGAGAATGTGTAGTTGAAGATGAGTTTATTAGAAAATTGAACTCAAACAAGGGCTAAATTCATTCATCTTTCTGGGCTAATAATTATAATTCCAATAAGTATTCCAAACACAAATTTACTTTATTTTCTATATCAATCATTGATTTCGTAACCATTTTCTTAACTTCAACCATTTACATAATGTATGACTGTGCTTAAAAGGGCATTTTTTGACTTTTAAATTTTTAATGATGACCAAATTTTTGTCTTTCAATTGACCATTACAATTCTTTATGATTTTAGGATCGACGAAGATATAATTGTTAATAAATGGCATATGAAAGTAGTGCCAAAGGTTATGAAGATGCTCGCTGCGAGACGCTTTTAGACAGGAAAAAACAATTCGAGGGCTCATAAACCCTTTCTTTCATTCATCAATAGGGCCCTGGTCGATCACTTTTTTGGGCCAAGATCGATAAATGAAAAATTGGTTAATCAGTAAAGATACATGTACTTGATGCCTCGCCCAAGAGAGAGACCCAAGTCCTAGTAGCCCCGCTAAATGGTGATTCGAAGATTAAAGATACATGTACTTATGCCCCGCCCAAGAGAGAGACCCAAGTCCTAGTAGCCCCGCTAAATGGTAATTCAAAGGGGAAGTCTGGACGACAAGCATTCGGTGGAAACAAAAAACACTTAGTTCTTTACTATATACACATAGGCATTTCACATATGAAATCTATAGTAGCAACAAAATTTGTAATCCTTCACAGTAGACATTGATCAAGTTTTTTGTGTATGGCAATGTCATTCAAGAAATTCATTAGTTTAGAATTTAACCTTTTCTTTTTAATTCTTCTCTAGGATTTGAGGATCTTGACGCTATCTAAACAGCCTATCTGATATCCCAGGTAACATTTGCCTTGATCATGTCCAGAATTAAAATATATAGATGTTTATCCTTAAATCTTTCTACATTTGAGCAATGTAGCTTCGGCATATTAGACCAAAATCAGCTACTATTTATGTGTCGAAGCCAAGAAAATAACAACGATTTAAATAAAAGCTATCATGTATGTACATGGGTATTATTAAAAAACACTAAATAGCTCACAATACAAACGAAATAGAATGACTATATAGAATTATGTCAATTTACCACTAATGGAAAAGGTATAGTTTATAGACAAAAAATGTGAACTGAATTTGTATCATCACCTCGGTGTAATAGTGGGAATCACTCCACTGACAAGATCACTGCTTGAGATATCTTGTGAAACGTATGGATGCGTTAGTTTATTAGATGAAGATGGCGGAGTGATATCCTTTTTGGGATCAATGTCTATGGATTCAGATATCTTGGTGTCCGACTCAGGTATCATGAGCCATATGTTCTCGAGTTCTCTAACCACTTCTGTCATTGAAGGTCGGGAATCTGTCTCGTCTTGACAGCACTTAAGAGCCAGATTTATGAATTTCTCCACGCATTCAGAGGGATAAGATCCCATTCCTTCATCGATGATAGAAAATATCATACTCGAACGATATGCAATGTTGACCTGCACAGATAGGCCAAATATTAAGCATGAAACTTTTAGTAGCAATTTTTTATTTTTTTTTATTTTGCGGGAAAAATGAATATTTTGTAGGACGGACATTGAAATAAATCATGCTATGTTGTGAACATTGACATCATAAAACCTTAATATTTGGTTTTGTTTTCATATTGTTGAAAATTAACTACCGACATCCTATTTGATTGCCATTAAACATCATAAAACGTTAATTAATTGTGAATGACATCCTATTTGATAGCCATTAAACTCTTTAACCCTCGACTCTTTACCTCTTCCAAGTTCCCAAGCTGGGTTTAAAACATTAAAGAGAACAACAATGAGAAAGCATATAACACTTATAAACTAGTATGACTGACAAATTTATATAAGTGATGTTCTTTATTCTAGTAAACTAAGAGAAAAATGGATTGCAATAATATATCACCTCCCGAACAATGTTTTTCCCATGTGAAATTGGGTGCATCCCTGTCAAAAGTTCGAGAAAGACAACACCAAGGCTGTAAACATCACTTTTGTCCGTCAATTTGTGCGTTAAAAAATACTCTGGATCAAGATATCCCTGCAGTGATAAAGCATCCGCATTTTTGAATGATGCGTGAATTCATTTTGTTCGTCACAATATTGCAATTGGAAAACGAAAATAAGCAAATAACAACTGGATGCTGCATTTTCGAATAAATATTCAAACTTGCAATTGTAAATAACGTTACCGGAGTCCCTTTTACAACTGTTGATACATAAGAAGGGATGCCTCCTTCAAGCTCAGGAACTGGAGCTAACCGTGACAGTCCAAAATCAGCAACCTTTGCGATAAACTTAGGGTCCAATAATATGTTGGTTGACTTGATATCCCGATGAAATATTGGAGGATTTGCTTCCGTATGTAGGTAAAGAATGCCTTTGGCTGAACCCAGTGCAATTCTTACTCTCATATTGAAACTCAAAGGCAATTTGGTCTTCCCTGCATATCTCAAAAATTGAAGTCTTGTTAAATCAGTAAAATGTTTCTGTTACTTTTCTACTTTTGGACACGCTAGAATACTTAAATGACTCGTTAAGAACTTGAGGAACACGTGCTTAAGAACGTTCTTGGAATCAAAATGTAATCCTAAAATGAAAATTTGGGTTAAATTACAGCATCACAATTATGTGGGTTTGAAGGATAGAAACAAGAAAACAAAATTGTAAGCTGCACGTTACCCAATTTACATGTTATTTAGTGTGTGTGATCTAGTCTGGAGAAGTAGAGAGGTTTGCAGTCTCGTAAGCAACAAAAGGACAGACTAAGAGACCATGAATTTTAGAAATAAACACAAAATGTCAATTTGAAAAAGAACACTTTACCAGATAGGTGATCTCTCAAGGAACCATTAGACATGAACTCATAGATCAACATCTGCATAATGAAAAGCACAGTAAACATAAGATTTAGGAGAGAAAAACTATTTAAAAATGTAGCCTTTTGAAATGAAATGTCAATACTTTGTGTTGTGATCCAATCACATGATTTTCCTACAATAAACCCTTATTTTTATCAGTTAGTTTCTTATAGGGAGCGGAAGAAATCTTTCGATCTTTATTATTAGCTACTCTATCTTTCCCTCTCTGTTAATGTTAGCACTGCGGCTGCTTACTTCCAACTTGTAACCAATAAAACTAACCTCAAAAGTAATAATTTACTTACTTCCAACTTGTAACCAATAAAACTAAGTTATTTTATAACCTAGTTAGTTATAAGTAAACTTTTTAAGCTTAGCTAAACATGCTCTACCACCTAATCCTGTAATAAAGCATCTACCTTTATAATAGATTCATCTTGAGCTAAGTCATTTATCCAAGCTGATATTATATAAAGCAGGATCAAGACACTGCTTAAAATTTATAAAGAGAAAGAAGGGATGCCAAGAATCTGCCAAGACCTCCAATCCAAACCCAAACAGGCATATTTGTAAGTGAGTGAACTTATCTAGAAATCAAAAATCGAATCACTGAATTTACACTTGGAACTCCAATTTAACACGTGAAGTTCACTTTGACCAACTGTAGATAAACTAAATATCTTATTTGGGTACCTGTTCACCTTCTTCATCACAATATCCCATCAATTGCACAAGGTTTCTGTGATGTAACCTCGACAATAGTTCTATTTCATTAAGAAACTCCTTATCACCCTGTAATGATCCCACCTGAGCTCGTTTTATGGCCACCATGGTTCCGTCAGCAAGAATACCTTTGTAAACTTTTCCATAACCTCCTTGTCCAACGAAACTCGAGTCAGCAAAATTATCTGTTGCCTGTGCCATTTCACCATAAGTGAAATCTTTCACACCATCGATTCTGATGGAGATCCTTGATGCTGCATACAATGCAATTAGATATTCAAACAGTTGAATAAAGATTCTCCTTCTTTAAATCATCAAACATGATATAAATGTGTATATATTACTTAAAATCTTTAACATCGATGCATCAAGAATGAATGAATTTGGTCCTTTTTTACGTTTCTTTTACTTCATTTATTGCACTCCTCTGCAGTGTACCTGTGTTTTTAGAGCTAAATGCCATGCCATAGTTCTTGATTACTCCTATAAATACAGTGTAAAATTTATTGAAGTAGTCCTTTTGTAAGCCAATTCCACACTAATACTTCATAAGTCCAATTCTTTTTATGTATTCTGTAGAAAATGAACATCAGTTGAATGGTCGAGCATATATAAAAACATGTAGACTGAAGTGCAAAAAGTTGAGCTATACCCCCAATGAAATGTTTTTATTTTTATTTTTTTTCTTTTTCCGGGGAAATGAAATTTTTCTTTCACTTCAATAAAATTGGTTCAAAAATAACATTTCCTTAATAAATTGGGGGAAGAGTTTTGCCCACCTCAATATCAAATTCAGTAATTTAAATTAAGATGTGGATTCTTTGTAAGCCAATTCCACAATAATACTTCAAGAAGTGTAAAATACTCACATCGACGTTGTTTTGAAGCTATATGATATTTCTTCATGTGCTTTTTCAAGATGAAAAGTGCCACAACGGCTGTTAAGGTAACTGATCCAGCTATTGCTCCTAGTATGATTCCAGCTAGTGCCCCCTTGCTTATACCAGACGAAGATGAGGATTCTACAGAAAGCCAAGAGTTAAGAGCATATCGAAAATGAGTATAGGCAAAGGTAAATTTGACTTCTATTACTATTTAGAACAATGTTAGCCTACTGATAGGTAATTGCCAAATGAGCTTAAGTTGTGTAGATTAAAAATACTCTGTAGTTAAGGGATCCATATCAATGACCAAAGTGCACAAGATCCGACCCAAGTATGAACAAAATCATAATAATCATGCTTCAAAGAATATGTAATAGGTATACGAGTCATATACCTCGCTTTCAAACCGAATGTATAAATCATAGGTCAAAGCTTTAGCCAGTTAAAATTTGAACACAAATTGTTTTTGTCTGATTTTCTGGTTTTCAGCCAGTTACAGTGGCAGGGGAGTCATTACCACTTTGTGTAAGCAACAAGCACTAACGTTTTACTTATAAATGAACAGCAAATGCCACAGGTTCTCCAAATTCACTATTATAATTTTCTTTCTTAGGCCCAACAAAGAGAGCATTTTTTTCAATGCCGCAAGCTTAGCAGGAGACTATCTTCCCTTAAAAACTCCTTTCGGAAAATTCTATTTTAGAAGATGTAAGCCCTTTCTTCCAACGAAGAAAAAGCAAATACCATGATTAAATGACTACCTTTCGCTCATATAATTAAAAAGTAAACATGCAAATGAGAAAGGACACGGACCATTTCCGTAAGGATCCGAAAGTGTGAAGTTGAGAAGCTCAAAAGGTCCAAACACATCGTTATCAGGAATATTCCATCCACTAAACAAGCTACGAATTCGACCGACCTCGCTGTCGTTAAATTTAAATGTTGAGTTGTTAACATAAACTGGAAAAATCTTCAGGTACATTCTCAGTCGAGGTCCGTCTTGCCATTCTGCCGAATCAATGACGAGCTGATAAATATGCAATTCCATACCATCACTTAGGTACCCCTTGAATGTATTAATATACGGGCGAAAATCTGAAAATCCGGGACTCTTCAAGCGGTATCCTATCCGCAGAGGCGCAGCACAAAAGCAAGATGAATCAGGAGATGGTGGAGCTAACTCATAAGGAGGTGGGCATGACGCCACACACACACTGCCATTTGTTTTGTTCAAGATATTGCCGAAACCTTTGTCTTGGGGTCCACAGAATTGAACAAGGTTGCCTCTTGAGCATAAGGGATTTCCGCGAAGACTGAAATTGTCATATAAATAACATAAGCCAAATGAGAAAATTACATCACCCGATATTGCTGAGACAATACAACTGGGATTTTTATTTTTATCTGGAAATTTTTTTATTTTAGAACAGGAAAATGTCATTGCAGATGAAAGTGATGAGAAGTGACAGACCTAACGGTGACATTCGGAGGGAGGACACGACTGCCAGATATATCTGAAAACATATTGTTCTGAAAATCCCTGCAATATAAAAAGTGTGAGAGCACAAATTTATGGATAAATAAGAAAATTTTCAGTCTGTTCTTATTAGGCCATAAAATTTTCTGAGTCTAATAAAAATATTGAAACTAGTATTCAATTTGTTTAAACAAGACCCGGTGTCTGATAATAGACTCAAAAACTCATGTGCAAGAACAATTTGACAAAGAACTAGTATTCTTTTCCCCAGGAGGAGAGAGGGGGAAGGAGAGGATTTTCTTTCCCATATCAATCTTACAAGGACAGTCTCTCGGATTCATTAAGAGTCCTACTTAGCCATATGGTGGATGGGACAGAACCGCTCAGTGAATTGTTTGCCAGCGCCCTGAAGAATGATGCAGAATAAAATATACTTTACTCAACAAATATTTTGTAAGGTAAGAAACAAGAGAGCTAAATCTTGGACACTAATTGGACAAGTGAAATTTATCTGGGAAACAAGAGAACTTAAACTTAGACACAATCATTTCCATAGCATACAATTAAAAAATGCTCACAATTTCTGTAGAAAAGGAAGCCTCGAGAAGCTGGCAGGGATAGTTCCATTAAGATTGTTGTAGGATAGATCACTGCATAATTAGAATTCGAACTATTCATTACAAAATGTGGAAACGTAATCCCTTTTTAAGCAAAATTATAAACGGGGTTTGAGGTAATACACAAAAATTAGCAAAGCAATCAGAAATTGAGTGCTTACATGGTAGTGATATTCTCAGAAAGGCCACCTGCTGGTATCGATCCATTAAGCTGGTTTAGGCTCAAATCTCTGAATTGAGAGCATGATCAATATTAGAACCCCAATTAACAAGTGTACTAACTCAAAACTCAATGACCAGAAAATTATCAGTAAATCAGATAAATACTTCTTCTGCACCATTTAGTATTCACCTCTGCTGAGTACATGACACTTAAAACAAGGAAATCGAGCTTGGCACCATAAAGATATGACTATAGTGATTAGTAAAACTTGTGCATAATGACTTACATATATGCAATAGAAGACAAATTGCTCCAGTTAGGGATTGGCCCTTGCAAACTGCAGTTTCTTAGACTCCTGAAACAGCCAACAAAATAACAAATTGTCACCTAACTAGCTCAAATAAATTGTAGCATGTTTACCTAGTTCTAATGGACGGGTCTATCTTTGATTAAAACGACAAACCTTCTGGTAAAAATTATACAGCTTCCAAGTGAAATAGATATTCACGTTTTAGAGATAAAAGTGCCACGACTTTGGGCTATATATTATGCATAATTTAACTTAGAATAACAACCATGAACCATATTTTAGGGTAGAAATGAAGATTTTATGCACTTACATTTTCAATAGACGAGACATGTTGCTATACGAAGAAGGTATGTCACTCCCGGCAAAGTTGTTATTATCTAGTTGACTGAAAAACAAAGAAATAGAACAAGTAGCTAAGCAGAGATAAAGTAAGAAAAAGTAATACCTAATTATCACAGCGATTGAATTTGTTCCGATGACTTGTAAGAGAATGTCATTTTTTCCAACCATAATGTGTCTATTTCAAACACAAAATACTATTCATTTTTTTTTCCATTTCGGACTTTGTTTAAAGGTTCATTTCGGATTCAAAGGTTTTTCATTTGCTAAGAAAAACGGTGCTGCTTTTAGTTCTAAACTAATAGCATTGATCAATAACAAATTAATAAAGCAAGTATTAGGAAAAAAAAAAAAAAAAAATTCTAAAACATGCTGGCTGATACAGAAAAATCCCAGCATAACGGAATAACCAAAGCAATATATCTAATAAAGAAAGAATGCATACAGTATCTGCAAGCTTGGCATTTCAGAAAGCTCTCGAGGAAGATATCCCGATAAGTTGTTATTGTCAAGCAACCTGCAAGTTTTCAGGTCATCAATTAAAATCAGATGTTCAAGAAGCAGGGTAAGGTTTAAAGGATTCATATCTTTAACTCACAAGTGAACAAGCTCTGGAAGTCTGGACAACTGTGGTGGTATTTGCCCACTAAGTGAATTATTGTTCATGTGGCTGTTCAATTAAGAAAAATTAAAAGGAAAATGCATTAACAATGTCGAAGAGGCAGCAACAGCATAGGTCCTGATACCTTGGAAACAGGTTCTCAAAGAAAAAACAGAAAAGCCCAGAAATAAAGAAGAATGTTTACAAATGCTTTGCACTGCTCAAGTTAGCAAATGATGCGGGTATAGATCCAGATATGTAGTTCTGGTCAATTTGTATCCTGTCCAAGTTACGAAGAAAACCAATCTCTTCGGGCAAGGAACCTGTCAATTCATTTCCATTCAGAAGCCTGGAACCAAAGAAAGAAAAGCACAAGCAAAAAACGTAATGGTTCAGATCATGGTGAAGCCTCTGTCGAGAATTAGCAAATAATATAAAGGATTACTTAGGAGGATTTATAAGGTTTCCCTCACTTCAATGAGCATTTGGTAAAAATTAAGCAAAGTAGAAGAGAAAGGAACGGTGAAAAGGATAATCGAGTAAAGAGCTGCTTCAACTTACATCAATTTTAACGTTGTAATGCTGCCTATCTCCTTGGGTATACTCCCAGTAATTTTGTTCCACATAAAGTCCCTTTGAGAACAACAAAAAATAATTAATTTAAAAGGGAAGGCAACACAGATAGGTAGAGTGAATTTCGGAGGTAAAATTCTGAGAAAAATAAATAAGCACAAATGAAAAAGAGCTGTGTATTAAATATCTAACTTACAGTATCTCCAAATAAGATAACTGTCCAAGTTGTGGAGATAAGCTTCCTGATAGATTCCTATTTAGCAGTAACCTGATGGTGAAAACAAAAGGGAAGGCAGTATTGTTCAGTCACTAATTATACAGTTAGCAACATACATTTTTGTAAAATGTTTCCAAAGAAAGTCTGGCATCTGAAACTATTATGCATCTTCCTTGGAATCTCACTCAGGTAAATTTGAACTGTTCTTTACATGTACAGTTCTCATATAACAGAAATCTATATATTTTTCATCAAACTTTTTAGACGATAAAAGGTTACTTATATCACATTAACATCCCTCTTCAGGACCAATTCATGGCAACCTGTTGATTTCATGAACACGACCCCGCAGGAAAAAGTCGGCCTACTACAGTGTGTCCCTAAAGATAGTCTTTTACTTATGAAGATGAATTTTGGCACCAAGTGATGCAGAAGCAGATACAAAGTTATACAATTTTAATAATTTGGAAGCAATAAAAGTACATTGTACATTTAACATACTTAATATCTGCAAATTATGATACAGCAAAAAAAAGGAGGGGGAAGGACTAAAATCATACAATTCTCTGACATGAAGATAACCATCATTCATTGTTCTGTTGTGGCAATAAACCCCTGTCCAGTTTGAAGCACATGGATCCCCCCTGTTCCAATTGCGAAGATTCCGATATGGGTCCGTCAAACTTCTCTGGATGTTTCGCAATGCATTCACTGCAGAAAATATTGAAGAGAGGCTGTGATCTTATATCGAAAGACATCACCGTCTTATGTTTTGACATTTTTAATGTTTTGAATGATGTAGATTGGCTACGGGTATCTCATTTTTAAACTCTTAAATTCCATGTCTGAGTACCTTAGTAAGAATCTTCATCAGATATTCAATTACATTAGGTTTCAAAACCCCATTGACGATGGTAAGCATTTAAAATGTAGGTAAAAGGAGGGAGGACAATGGTTAACACAGAAAAGGAAAACATATTGACAGTAAATGTTTTTCATTGAGTGTAATTCTGAATTAAACAGGAATCCATTCTACATTCATTTTAAACGTAACTAGTGGTAAAATTGTAGCACAATTTATTTATTTTTATCAACGTTTGGAATATGAGTAGTTCTTGATCAAAGAAACCGCTATTATATCCAAGTTATGGGAAAAATTACATGGCAATTTACTGTCTAATTTGAACCTTAATAACAATTTTATTCGTTAGAAATTCACCAGTGCACCAGCATTAAGTCTTGTCACTAATTTATACTATCAAGGATGCCCAAAACAATGAGAAGCCTTGATTTTCTTATGCTTTACTTGTTTGCCCACAAAAGTTAAGGACCCGTTTTGTTTGTGTTTCAATTTTTAGTTTTAAGTTTTGAGTTCATTTTCATATTTCTCTCTTGAGGATCTGTTTTAAAATTGTTAACAACGCATTGGATTTGTCATTTTGAAAAACTATTTTTCAAACCAGAAAAGCAAAGAACACATTTGATTAAAAAAAAAATTTTAAACAAAATTGTATTCTACGAAATTTGATTATTTAGTACAATAGAACATTTATATGTTATATATTATCAAGTAATATGTACATTTTAAAGTTTGTGAATTTTACAATATTTTTTTTGGCTTCACGAAAGTAAAATAATAATAAATTGAGTAGGCAATATATAGGAAATAAAAATTAATGACTTTGGTGAGAATATTTTTCTTTAAGTTCATTTAAATATATTGTTTAGAATTTTTATGTAAATAATTATTTATTTTTTGTAATTTTATTTTTTTACTTTTTAGAATTTCATGTTTTTAGAATTTATTTTTCTAGAATTTTAGATTCTACTCTTTCAAAATTTTTATTTTTTTATTTGTTAGAATTATCAAAAAATATATATATAGATCTTTAATTTTTAGAATTTTATGTATATAAACATTGCTTTTCCAAACTTTTAGTGTTTTCAAAATTATATGTTATAATTTAACCTTATTCTGAAAATGAAATGGCCCACCAAACAAGTTTGGGTGTTCTGAAAACTCAAAAACAATTTAAAAACAACAAACAAATGCATCCTAAATAGCAGGAAAGAAAAATTAGAACTTCATTTCTTTTGTTAAATCCAATTTAAGTAAACATCCTAGAATTACAACAGAAAAAATAGTAACGAAATGGTCGATCATGATCACCATCGTATTTTCACATGATCAAGTGTCATCTTTCCCTTCTCAGAGAAATAAGTAATTACACATAATATAACACATGATCCTAAGCATGCTCAAAGTAACTTAAAAGTAGACGAAGATAAAAAAAAAACAAATCACCTTCATTGGGATGCGTCAGTTGGCTATCTGCTCCTCCTATAAGCAGCAGCAAACACCAGCATAAACACACAATTAAACTTGTTCCAGTTTTAGCATAAGTTGGCTGGGAACTCTCAAGAACACCCATTTTTCCAAGATTGTAAAATGTCTTGATACTTGTCTCCCACCTTTTAAATCAACATATATGAAATAAAGAAAAAGTCAAATTTTCAACTAAACCAGAGGAACAGCTGAAAGGAGTAAACCAAGAACAGACAAGAGAAAGAATAGTGGATACAAAAGTATAAGTTAAACAAACCAATATGCTAACAAAACAAATACCGAAAAGTATTAAACAACAAAAGGGGCCACCAAGAAAATAGAACAATATGGAATATAAATTTATAGGTGCTGCAGATATTATGCAGTCTGAAAAATGGGCTTTGAATTTTACAAATTCGGAGGTTTTGAGGTACAATTGGGTTGACCTGGTCGCCATTGGAAGGTGATGAAGATGGGCAGATGAATTTTGATGGCGACGATGATGAGCACAGCAGCCATATTTTTCAAACATTAAATTGAATATACAAATTTTGTTCGATCGCCAGTTTACATCATTTAATTTGATGGAACTGTTTTCTTGACTTTCATTGCAGTTTTAGTTGAACGCCATTAATTAAAACAGAATTATAAGCAGCATGATAATGAAATATGAAAGAATAATAGCCTGTATGATATTTGAATGTCATTGATTAATGGCATACCTAAATAATAAATTCACTCAAATATAATGTTTCGTAGCTCATTTGAATTGAATATATCAAGTGTGATTATTTAAATTGGTGTTCTAATAGATGCTATATATATAGCATTATTCGATATGAAAGGAGGATAGGGAAATCTTATCAGTTCACCGTTCACGTTCAAGAATTGGTTAAATAAATCCTTGAGGATCTCAAATGAATTAGGAGGTGTGTGACCGTGTGTTTCGCTAGGATCTTTTCTTAGTCCCTATTTGGTGGAAATTAAAATCTAAATTTTTATTAAAGTTAAATTTAACAATTAATTTAGTCACATATTTTATAGAATCCATAATTTTTCAACCATACATTATCAACTTTTATCAAAAACTACTAAAAATCTTATTTTAATCTCCAACAAACATGATTTTAAGAGAAATTTGCAATTAAACTATGAGCCTATGACTTTTATTCTTTTATTTCAATTTCAACTATGACACATTCAACTTTAAGAAGTCATTTTTTTCTCTACTTTGATTGATGTCTAGAAGTATTAAATAACACGTATATTTATGGCGATTATTTTACAATTAAATTGAGAATTGAAGGTTGTTCTTATTAGAGATGGTTTGTACAACTACGGTGAAGGTTCAACACTAAAATTTTCTAATGTTCTCTCTAGTGCCTTTTTATTTGGAGATCACATGTAAGAATGGTTAACAAATTATATCATTATTGCTCGATCCAATATGAAATAAGTTGAATTAAACTCTTTTTGCGCCAAAGAATTCGAAATGCTTGTTGACAGATACCCATAAGGAGTGGTAGGATCCATGTGAATAAAAAAAGTCCAAATTTTTTTACCTCCTATTGTGAGTGACATCCTTCCTGACAGCATATCAGTATTGAAATAATTTTGCTTTTCTAACATTTAAGTTTATTGCGAACTTTGTGAGTAATGAGCAATCTTTGAATATCCATAACATGTCTCTTCAAGAATATTCAATACAAGGAATTAGAGTATCAAAGTGGATGGGCCTAGCATGACCTGCTCACAAGCGAGACCTAACAATCGATAATTAAAAATTTTGGATGGGGCCAGTTTAAATAATTGCACTTGAGTCAATATTATTTTTAAAAAAAAATGGAAAATTGAATATAGTCCATGTTTGGCTCCCATTTTTTCAAATTTTAAGGGTGGAATAGTTTTTTTTTTTTTTTTTTTTTTTTGAGAATATGTTGTTGAAAAAGAAGAAAATGTTTTTGATTTATGCATAATATTATTTTATGGAAAATTGTGTGGTTGAAAATACAAGAGAAAAAATAAAATTTAATTTAATTGGGGCATAAAAGATTGACCAGGCGTCACCCTTATGTCGAACGACAACCTTTTCAAAAGAAGATTATGCCATTTTTTTTAAATTTGTCATAGACATAGCATATTAAAGTTGATCTCAATGTTAAATCCAACGTCTAGCTGACATTTATTATCGGCAAATGTAATGTTACAAGTTTACTTGAATGATTCAAGTTGAGGTTTGACAATGAAGTTTTTATAAATATATAGTTGATCCTAAAATTTGAACCTAATTGTTTATGATTTTGACATGGCAATAGAAGAGAGGATTATTATCTCCAACCAAGTTTTATGATGATTATCAAAGTTATTATATTTTAAGTTTATTTTTCAAAGAAACGTGTTTTGACCAATAGAACACCACCCAAAGTCTAAACACATTTATGGCTTTGAACTTGATTGTTTTCGGTTTTGACATGGCAATAGAAGATAGAAGCATTATCTTCAATGAAAGTTTTATGAAGATTATCGAATTAATTATATTTAAGTTTATTTTTCAGCGAAGCATGTCTTTGATCAATAGAACAGCATCCAAATTCTAAACACGTTTATGGCTTTGAACTTGATTGTTTTCAATTTTGACATGGCAATAGAATAGAGAAGCATTATCTTCAACAAAAGCTTTATGAAGATTATTGAATTAATTATATTCAAGTTTATTTTTCAGTGAAGCATGTCTTTTATTAAGGGAATAAATCTCACATCGGTTAAATATCGAAATATTGACCAAATTAAATAGATTTTGAGTCACTCTTTTTAACAAGGTTGACCTTATTAAGATGGACCCAAAATCTTAATATGGTATCAGAGCCCAGTAAGCTCCAACAAGTTATTCGATCCGATTAAGTCTCAAAAATGAGTACACGGATTTCAAGATTGGTCTGCTCAAAAAGAGCCACCATCTTGAGAGTGCATGTTAAGGGAATAAATCTCACATCGGTTAAATATCGAAATATTGACCAGCTTAAATAGATTTTGGACCACTCCTCTTAACAAAGTTGACCTTATTAAGATAGATCCAAAATCTTAATATCTTTGGCCAATAAAACAACACCCAAAGTCTAAACTTGAACTTGATTATTTTCGATTTTGACATGGCAATAGAAGAGAGAAGCATTATCTTCAACAAAGCTTTATGAAGATTATCAAATTAATTATATTTTAAATTTATTTTTCGTCAAGCGTGTATTGGTGAATTGAACGGCATCCAAAGTCTAAACACGTTTACGGCTTATGGTTGGTAATTAGTCAACTTAACTTGAGCATTATAGAATCCATAATTTTTCAACCATACATTATCAACTTTTATCAAAAACTACTAAAAATCTTATTTTAATCTCCAACAAACATGATTTTAAGAGAAATTTGCAATTAAACTATGAGCCTATGACTTTTATTCTTTTATTTCAATTTCAACTATGACACATTCAACTTTAAGAAGTCATTTTTTTCTCTACTTTGATTGATGTCTAGAAGTATTAAATAACACGTATATTTATGACGATTATTTTACAATTAAATTGAGAATTGAAGGTTGTTCTTATTAGAGATGGTTTGTACAACTACGGTGAAGGTTCAAGACTAAAATTTTCTAATGTTCTCTCTAGTGCCTTTTTATTTGGAGATCACATGTAAGAATGGTTAACAAATTATATCATTATTGCTCGATCCAATATGAAATAAGTTGAATTAAACTCCTTTTGCGAGAAAGAATTTGAAATGCTTGTTGACAGATACCCATAAGGAGTGGTAGGATCCATGTGAATAAAAAAAATTCTACTTCCTATTGTGAGTGACATCCTTCCTAACAGCATATCAGTATTGAAATAATTTTGCATTTCTAACATTTAAGTTTATTGCGAACTTTGTCAATACACTAATATAACAAATGAGTAATAAGCAATCTTTGAATATCCATAACATGTCTCTTCAAGAATATTCAATACAAGGAATTAGAGTATCAAAGTGGATGGACCTAGCATGACCTACTCACAAGCGAGACCTAACAATCGATAATTAAAAATTTTGGATGGGGCCAATTTAAATAATTGCACTTGAGTCAATATTATTTTTAAAAAAAAATGGAAAATTGAATATAGTCCGTATTTGGCTCCCATTTTTTCAAATTTTAAGGGTGGAATAGTTTTTTTATTTTTTATTTTATTTTGAGAATATGTTGTTGAAAAAGAAGAAAAAGTTTTTGATTTATGCATAATATTATTTTATGAAAAATTGTGTGGTTAAAAATACAAGAGAAAAAAATAAAATTTAATTTAATTGGGGCATAAAAGATTGACCAGGCGTCACCCTTATGTCGAATGACAAACTTTTCAAAAGAAGATTGTGCCATTTTTTTAAAATTTGTCATAGACATAGCATATTAAAGTTGATCTCAGTGTTAGATCCGATGTCTAGCTAACATTTATTATTGGCAAATGTAATGTTACAAGTTTACTTGAATGATTCAAGTTGAGGTTTGACAATGAAGTTTTTATAAATATATAGTTGATCCTAAAATTTGAACCTAATTGTTTATGATATTGACACGGCAATAGAAGAGAGGATTATTATCTCCAACCAAGTTTTATGATGATTATCAAAGTTATTATATTTTAAGTTTATTTTTCAAAGAAACGTGTTTTGACCAATAGAACACCACCCAAAGTCTAAACACGTTTATGGCTTTGAACTTGATTGTTTTCAATTTTGACATGGCAACAGAATAGAGAAGCATTATCTTCAACAAAAGCTTTATGAAGATTATTGAATTAATTATATTCAAGTTTATTTTTCAGTGAATCGTGTCTTTTATTAAGGGAATAAATTTCAAATCGATTAAATACCGAAATATTGACCAATTTAAATAGGTTTTGGATCACTCCTTCTAACAAAGTTGACCTTATTAAGATGGACCCAAAATCTTAATATGGTATCAGAGCCCAGTAAACTCCAACGAGCTATTCGATCCGATTAAGTCTCAAAAATGAGCACACGAATTTTAAGATTGGTCTGCTCAAAAAGAGCCACCATCTTGAGGGGGCATGTTAAGGGAATAAATCTCATATCGATTAAATATCGAAATATTGACCAATTTAAATATATTTTGGATCACTCCTCTTAACAATGTTGACCTTATTAAGATGGACCCAAAATTTTAATATCTTTGGCCAATAAAACAACACCCAAAGTCTAGACTTGAACTTGATTATTTTCGATTTTGACATGGCAATAGAAGAGAGAAGCATTATCTTCAACAAAGCTTTATGAAGATTATCAAATTAATTATATTTTAAATTTATTTTTCGTCAAGCGTGTATTGGTGAATTGAACGGCATCCAAAGTCTAAACACGTTTACGGCTTACGGTTGGTAATTAGTCAACTTAACTTGATCGACATGATATTTCGATGGATTGTAAGGCTAAAGGACACAAACCAATCATTTATAAGCCATAAGCGTCCATATTTGCTGCTGGTGACATAATTAAGCAGTGGTCAATGCGGGTGTACGACTTTTCGGCCAATGGATTGCAAGATGCGAAATAATCAAGTCAATAAATTGTAAGCATGTGTGTCGTGTAAAAATGAAATATATAATAAGAAAATTACATCCCCTCACATTTTAAGAATACCCATATGAATTGTAAGCACAAGTTTGGTAGGAATTAAAATTTCGATTTTTATCTAAGTCAGACTAAACAATTAATTATAATCATATATTTTATAGGATTTATAACTTTTTAATCATATATTTTATCAATTTTTATTAAAATTAATTAGAAATCTGATTTTAATTCTCACCAAACAAGTCACAATGAAAATTTGATAACATACTTTCTCTAATTTATTTTTTTATTTTTCTCTTTTTTTCCATCGAAGAAAAAGTAAAAGATGCTGTTTACATATCCAGGCCCATTCAATACATTAAATGGGCAGCAAGACTGTTGGGCCTCTCAACCTCTGCTGGTAGGCCCTGATTTAATGGAGATGTGACATTCACCAGGCCATGGTAATGATTTGAATTGAATGATATCCACAAATTAAGAAGAACGTGGTCCTTAAAACCACCGGTGACCTTTTGCGAACGCTCAGTGAACTTTGGATCCATATACCATAATCCGGCCCATCCATCTCTGTCAACTAGGGTTTGCTTTTATCTTCAAACTAAACCCTTGTTTGAACCCCATTTTGGAGGAAAAATGAATTTTGAAATAGTGTATTAATGGAAAATATGTTGTTAAAAAATAAGGAAAAATTTTGAATTTACGTTTAATATTATTTTATTAAAAATGTGTGATTGAAATGATGTCAAATCACTGTTTAAAAATGTATTTATATGGAAAGAATGGGGCTCAAACAGGGGCTAATTATATTTCCCCTTATCCTTATTTTGGGCAAAACATGGAATTATTCCACTTTGATTTTATCCCCAATATGCAAATTGTGTCGTTACTATTTTTGCATGGTCACATTCAACGTGGCAATCGACGGTGATGAATTGGACTTAATCCTCGTAGAAAGTTTTAAATTTGGCCCTGTTTTATTGCCTTTATTTAGCAAAAATAAAGTTTTAAATAATGAATTTTTGAAGAATGTGTAGTAAAAAAAAAATTGGATTTAACACAGAATATTTTATTGTGTGAATGTGTGGTAAAAAAATAAATATATAAAAAAAAATTTTGGATAATGATTGTCATACAGGAACATTGTTGCGTCATATTTTAACCATCTCAACAGGACTTGGTAATAATCATTGGCATTTAATCATCATCATTTGAGTAATCTAATCTTGAATTTAAAATCGTGATTGCAGGTCTCCAACAAGTTTGAATAAAATTTAACAAGTTTAAGGTTGAACAAATTTGAATTGAACATAAACTAAGAATCTGAAACTCCAATCTGATCGTTGTAATTAAAAACTATAGATTTTGCGATGAACATAACTGTCAAAACTCGACTTTAGATTGACAAAAACTTAGTGTTAGGGAGCGATGAAGCTCAAGTGTTTTGAATAATAATAATTATTATTATTATTATTATTATTATTATTCTGAAATCTAATTAAGCTCCTATTTGATATTTATTAACAATTTTTTTTCCAGAAACTCATTTTCAACTACACATTTACACAATAAAATATTTTATATGTAAACTCAAAACTTGTCATACTTTTTTACCATCCATTTTTCAAAAAATCACTATTTTAAAATTCACTTTTCTCCCAACAAAAAAAAGAAAAGAAAAGAAATAAACTCATTTTAGTGTATGTAAAAAAGGGGCTAAAAATGAAATTATAAATAAAGATAAATTAGAGTTAGATAAGTGGATATCATTATAAACGAAACATAGCTAAGATTTAATATTTTTCGAGTAAAGCTAAACAGACCTCGAAAGCTCAAGGTTCGATCCGACTCACTCAGAACCCTATTAGACAAACAATTAGGACCATTACAGCTTGACAATGACAAGACATCGTAATTTTTATTTTTTCAAGTTATTATTTTTTCAAGTGTAAACTAAGAATAAAAACTAACCTAAAAATTAGAAAGACATTCTTTGATTGGTTAGATATCGGTTGCTCTCACGGGAATGGATGAAATGAATAGAAATTCCACGTGTAAAGTTCCAATTAGGTAGATTCAGATACTTGGTGGCCCACAATGTTGGATAATCTTCTAAATCCTAACATGTTGAAGCTGGAAAGTGGGCCCACTCCAACATGAAAAAGTGACGTGGAATTCTGGGGACCAAGATTTTTTGGGCTTTGTTGCTGGGAAAACATAGGCCACTTGTTTGAGTGGTAGAGATTTGTGATCTGAGACCGAGAGTCTCCAGCCAAAAATCATTTGACTCAATTCTGAGGAACCAATCAATAATGTAGTTGGTGTCTCCAATTATTCACTACTTACAATAGGGACCTGTTTGACAGGCTTCATTTTCTATGAATCCAAATTGTATGTTTGACACCCAAAAATTTTTATGAAATTGGTTTTCCACTCAATCCCCCACATGATCACATTTTCCAAATTTTTAAGGAATTGATTTTCCATTCCTTTGGTTTTGATTGGAATTGGGTTTACCAGCTATTTTTTAAAAAATTTCTTTTATTTTTTTTTAGCAATGGAAACAAATTCTATCCATATTTTTAACAAATTCTTTTAATTTAATTGATAATTTTCATAAAAACAAAGTCAAACGAACACCAAAAGATTCAAATTTTTAATATTTTTCTAGTGAAAATGTATACCAATCAAACACATTTAATTGAGAATTCATAGTAAAACAAGTTTTGGGTAATTAAATTCTCTGAAATTCATTACTATTTGGTTTAGCCAAAAATAAATAAATTTCGATAAAAATTGATAAAATGAATATGTAAAAGGTAAATAAAAATTGTGGATCTAATAAAATGTGATGTTGAAAATGAATTTTAGAAGAAAAGAAGGCCAAACAGAGACTTACTGTTAAAAAGATTATGTAGTTGGTCATGTTTGGCATGTTGAGTTAAATAGATTGAATGAGACCAAGAACAAGGACTAACAACAAATTCATTATTTTTTATTGAAAAGACACACTGTAGATGTTCATATGTGGTTCACTTGAATAGATGGTAAACATGGTATGAGGACAATTCAATTTATCTAAAGTTCAAATGAACAATTGAATACTACGATTATTATTTTCAAACAAGTCATTGTCTAGACCAAGCATGTTAAGAGCAAATTTCTCCATTATAGTATCAGAGTTAAGTAAAAGACTTCGATTTAAGTTTATTCACTACATATTTATTAAAAAATTGTCCACACGCTAAGCATTTGATGAAAAAGAAAAAAAAATGAAGGAAAAACTAAATCTAGACATGGGGTGTGGGGTGGCTATTAAAAGTATAATGATCGGTATGATGTTTATACCACCCTTTAAAAATAAACAAATAAATAATTCTCTTCTTTAATCCCATTTAATATTTAGATGATCTGAGAGATTGTTTAATATTTACATGCAATTGTGCATGGCTAAACAACAATTTTATTGGACAACAAAATATATGGACTTGGCTCTTTCTTGGGTACTGAAAGCTACTTGAAAAAGTAAAAGCTTTGCAAAAAAGATTAAAGCTTGTCTCCTAAAAGCCAAAAAGTAAAGCGACTTCAAGATAAAATTAAAATCTTTATATAACCCAAATAAGCTCTTTATTAGTTGCGTGAATATTTCTATTTTCTTGAAGCATCCTCCAATGGCTACCCCCATCAAAAATAATAGCAGATTAACTCTTGCCATGGAGAGAACTGGGCAGTGGTATTTGATCTCCAATTCTTCCTTTAAACTCTTCTTTCTATTTCATTTTGATAATTCAGTTCTGATTTTTTGCTGTTTTTCTGTTTAAATTACAGGGTTTTTTCGCAAGATATTCCTACTGATGTTATTGTTGAAGTAGGTGAGGCCAATTTCTCTCTTCACAAGGTACGCAAATAGCCTGTTTAAGAACATTAATCTTGAAAATCGATTTTTCTCATTCGACCTTTTGCGTTTAGTATTTAAGCTTGAAATGTTTATTTTATCTACTTATGGTGGCAGTTCATGCTTATAGCAAAGAGCAACTACATAAGAAAACTTATTATTGAATCAAAAGAAGCTGATTTGGCAAGAATAAACCTCTCCGATATCCCTGGAGGACCCGAAATTTTCGAAAAAGCTGCGAAATTCTGTTATGGAGTAAATTTTGAGATCACTGTACACAACGTGGCTGCCCTCAGATGTGCTGCTGAGTATCTACAGATGACTGATATGTATTGTGACAATAATCTCTGTAGTCGGACCGAGGATTTCCTCTCTCAAGTGGCATTAAGCAGCCTTTCAGGTGCCGTCGTCGTGCTGAAATCTTGTGAAGATCTACTTCCAATGGCTGAAGACCTCAAAATTGTTCAAAAATGTGTCGATGTTGCAAGCGCCAAGGTATTTCCACCTTTCGATGATTCTCTTTATATGCATGCAGCAAGTTGTTTCCTCTCTAACAGCTTAAACTTTTAGACGTAGTAGTTCAATATAATTAGAGCATAGAAAGGTCCCGAATCCTGAATTCAAGTCTTACCGCCATCTATTTGTTAGAATTATTCTTGTGTTAGGCATTTGATGGAAAATGAATCTAATTGACGAGATCTCTTTAATAGTTTAAACTTTTAGAGGTTAAAGTCCTACCATATAAATAGTTATTGACTGTGTAGCTCAAATTGTTGATGATTTGCTTTGATAGGCTTGTGTTGAGGCAAATTTTCCAAGCCGTTCGCCGCCTAACTGGTGGACCGAAGAGCTAACAATCTTGGATGTAAGCTTCTTCGAAAAGATCATTACATCGATGAAATCAAGAGGTGCAAAGGCCTTGACAATAGCTAGTGCTATAATCACATACGCAGAGAGATCGCTTCGTGATCTTGTGCGCGACCACTCTGGGAAAGGAATAAAATCATTAGATTCCGGGGAATCTGATATCAGAATCCAACAACGGGAACTTCTCGAATCTATAGTCGCTCTTTTGCCCCCCGAAAAGGCTGCCTTCCCCATAAACTTCCTCTGCTGTCTCCTAAGGACTGCTATTTTCTTGAGGGCAACAAATAGTTGCAAGCAAGAACTAGAAAAGAGAATTTCAGTGATTTTAGAGCATGTGACAGTGGATGATCTTCTGGTTCTATCGTTCTCGTATGATGGCGAGCGCCTGTTTGATCTTGAGAGCGTTAGAAGGATCATATCTGGTTTTGTGGAGAAAGAGAAGAACGTGGCTGTCTTCAATGGAGGCGATTTTAAAGAAGTGTGTTCCACAGCTATGCAGAGAGTTGCCAAGACAGTTGATGCATACCTTGGAGAGATTGCTACTTACGTTGATCTGAGTATTTCTAAGTTTAACGGGATCGCCAATTTAGTGCCTAAAGGCGCTAGAAAGGTCGATGATGATCTTTACCGGGCTATCGACATCTACTTGAAGGTCAGTTTAAAAGCACGTTTCGAAGTTTATTTTAGATGATTAATTTGAACCATAGTTAATTCGATTTCTTGCAGGCTCATCCAAATTTAGATGAAATCGAGCGCGAGAAGGTCTGCAGCGTGATGGATCCACTCAAACTCTCCTACGAAGCCAGGGTTCATGCTTCGCAGAACAAACGATTGCCTGTACAGATAGTTCTTCACGCTCTGTATTACGATCAACTGAAGCTAAGAAGTGGCACAGACGAACAAAATTCGAATGCCATGACGACAAGAAATCAGTTACAGGCAGATGTATCCCTGGTGAAAGAGAACGAAGCGCTAAGAACCGAGCTATTGAAGATGAAAATGTATGTACAAGATTTGCAGAAAAATCAAGGGACATCGTCAAAAGGGAGTGCAAAGAAGCCAACATTCTTTTCTTCTATGTCGAAAACCTTGGGAAAATTGAATCCATTTAAGCATGGATCGAAGGATACCTCAAACATGGATGATGGAATGCCAGATTTAACCAAGCCTAGAAGGAGAAGGTTCTCCATATCCTAAATTCAGGGATTAATTTATTTAGTTCTTGGGTGTGGAAATTGTGTAGAAATTTGACGCTGTGTGTATGTATATAATTTTTTTTTTTTTTTCCCTTAATTGT